ATCATGTTTTCTTTGGTTCCTTTGGACCTGGAATAATACCCACCAGTATTGCATTCTCTGGTTTAAAACGTTCCTCTCTACTACCATTCCAATATGGTACATGTACTAATTAACAAAATTACTGGTCCCCTCCCATTTGTGTAAAATATTGGTTGAAAATGTGTTTGTCTGGTGATTTTAATCGTTGATCTTTCTCCATACAGTACTTGTGAATTAGTAACATTGCAGTATATGTATTGATTTTATTAGTTGAAATTAAGAAAACAAGTGAATTGTTGGCTAAAATTAAAAGTTTGTTACATGCAGGAGGGAGCCAAGTATTAACTTGACACTAGTACTTGGCTGCGACAGGAAGTGTGTCACATTGAAATGTATTGTTCAAAATACAGTGTCTTTGTTAAATAAATTGTGCCACTTTAACTATCTTACATCAACAAACCACCAGCTAATAATTACGGTGGATTTTTTAATTAAAATAAAATCAAGTCTTATTACTATATGGTACAAATTAGCTAAAATACCATGCAACAGTCTGGCGAACGCTGATTATATGATCATTATTTCTTTCAGTGTCAACTCGCGTCATAATAGTGCAATGCGAGAGAAACTGGAAGGACAGTTAAAAGATAAATTTGGCACTGAATATAGTGGATCAGAATATCGATGTGAGTACAAGATATTTGTACAGTGTTATATTCACAAATAAAGACTGTGTTGAATTTCATGTAATGGTATCTAAATATTACACAAGGATTCACAAATAGTTATGATTCAACAAAATAAACAAAATGTTAGTTCATGTGAATATTAATTGCAGAACTAGTACATGTAGTTGTCAAAGTCACAATTGAATGTTAGGTATACATTCAGTAAATGGGCAATTTACATAAAAAATACAATATATTAACTACCTCTGTTGTGTTAATATTTTCTGCTGTTGTTGGTGGTCACTACTCTAACATGCTGTGGAGAGAACCCCAGGATTTTAAAGTTGTGTGAGAACAGTACTGCTTATACGTGTACCTAGAGATTAATGATTCCTATATAATGTTATATTCTGTATTTGTTCTATGGAAAAATGCATAATACAAATAGTACTGATTGTACAGTAATGTTTACTTGAACATTGGTCAAAATTTCCTTGTTAGATTTGGGTGCATAGAAGAAAAAATAAAAGTTTCATGTGAATGCCTCTTGTCATTAACTGTTATTGTAATGGTATATAAATGATGGTATATAAACTACCCTTTGTTATCTGTTTATAATCAACTTTCTGTATTTACCTACCGTTAAATCTGTATTAGAAGTCGCATCGCTGATAGAAGTCGCATCCATTTTTTTTTCAACAATTAAATCAAAAAATCACTATTTCTCATACGTGTAGATGTTCTAATAGAAAACTCTGTTGCATTGTATCATTTCAATACAGATACAGATTTTACAGTACACACTGTCTTAACAGTTTAACAGACACCCAGTTAGCATGCTGAATTTGAATAGCCACCCCTTTTATAATTTAGTCTATGACAGATTGTGAAATTACATTGAGTCTGTCTCTTCAATTTATTTATTTCACCAATTTTCCTTTTCAGTGTCTGTCAAAAGAAGATTTGATTCAGAGCGAGTAAAGCATAGAGAGTTGGCAAATTTAGCTTTTGTGCATAAACAAAGAGAACGAAGAAAAAACAGAAGTCGACAGTATAAGGTAAATATTTTTGTATTTGTCATTTCTTTCATTGGCAGCATTATCACTTTCTGAATATTTTAGAAATTACTTTTGTTTTCTAATTGTTGTAGAAGCATTTTTACCTTGTCTATATCATCCTTGGTGGAGGACAATGTATAGGAGAGGAAAATGTCTGTCCTTGTTGTCTTATCAATCACTATAAAATGTCTATGAAGTTCAATTTTAGTGTAGAAATAAGTAGAATGAGAGACATTGAGATTATTAGTTGCAGTAATAATTGAATTACATTGGCTAATATTTTTCATTTCATATTTTACTTATATATGTTGCTTTACTACTTTACGCATCTGACTTAATGCCTAGGGTACCAAAAATCATTGTAAAATGTGCGATCATACACAAACACTCAATGCGAATCATTTTTCTGATAGATCAAGTTTGTTATTAACCAATCAGAATGCTATGTTGAAACGACAAATAATCAATGAGAAGTATGATATGTTGGATTTAATTTTGGTGAAAAAGAATATTTTTTTTTTACTGGTAATTATTAATTTTTGAAAGGTGAATTGACTAATGAAGTATTTATTGTCGAAGCATAGTTTACATATGGTTACCGTGGTCTATGCATTCACAACATATTTACTGCAGTTGATGATAAGCTCAGTGTTCTTCCCAGGAGTCTAATTTGCATATCATTTACATAATAATAGAGGTTGACCAAAGCACATTTACACAACAAACAACATACTAGTATATTTTAAAAAACAAAGTGGCACATATTTATTTGCTTTATACAGCGTTATAAACACTATTCTTTTGGGCACT